AATGCCGAGGCAAGACCAGGGCCAGGCCTGGGACCCAGGGGAGCCACCTGACTGGGCCCACCCCAGGGAGGCCCCCTGGACGATGCTGCACTGGGACTTCCGCTCAAAACAAACATGGTACGTGGAACTCCCTGGTGGTCCAGTGGTTAGGACTCGGCACGTCCACTACCGGGACGCCAGGGTTCGATCCCTCATCAGGGAACTAAGATCCCACAAGCTGTACCGCGTGGCCAAAAAGAAAAAAACTAAACGTGGTACCTTTTCAGGTAACTGAGCCTCGACTTCCTTCTTGAGCCGCCGGAGCAGGAAGGGCCGCAGCACTTTGTGGAGACGACGGATGATGAGAATGGTTTCCTCCTCGTTCAGGTCCACCTGGCAGCCCCAACGAGACAGGCCAACCAAGCGTTACCTCCAAAGGAGGGGACAGGGATGCAGCGAAGGGCCATCTGGAGTCACCCTGTGCTCAGCACCTCCTTTTCAGACTACCCTAAGCTTCACAGGAGCCTAGCAGGGCAACCTCTTCCTCTGGAAAACTGCAAGGATCTTAAGACCTTCCATGGAAGTCCTGGGACACGGAAGCCAAGGCCCCAGGGCACTATGAAACACAGCAGCATGCTGCATCGCTTCCCCAAGAGTAACAAACCCACGTGCCTGGAATCCTGCCAACACATCCAAACGAAATCTGGACAGCACTGCGGGGGCCACACGGATAGAGCGTGTGGTGTAACTGAGGGGTGCTCCAAGAGGGCTCTGTCACTGGAAGCCCAAATCAACTCTCATTTTGGCCTGGGTGGGATGGACGGAAAGAAATGCTGCTCTCCCAGGGGGCCTGCTACTCTGATAAAAATGTGAATTAAAAAAAATTTTTTTAAGTGAAAACATGACATCTGAACTTTTCTTCTCTGGGTCCCTTTGGGCAGAGCTTTTGCTCAACCTGAAAATACGTGAAACCAGAGCATTTGTTCCTCAGCTCTTGGGGGAGGCGGTCCTTGGGAATCTGAAAACTGGGGGCTCCTTTATTATGAGATCCTTGGAAGGGCCTCAATTTCTCCTTCAGGAGGGCTTCTGCCTCAGCCGGTACCAAGGAGGCGGGACCCCATGGATGATGCTGACAGAGGCCCCCCTGTAAGAGCTGAGGAACAGCTGTCCCAGACTCGCCTCAGGAAAATCCACTAACTGGGAACAAGTGAGCTGGGGCACGGCTGCCGTGGGCGGTGAAGCTCAACGTTAAGCCCTGCGATCGTGCCCACCTCCTCGGTCATCAGGCTCAGGCCGCTGACCTCCTTCAACAGAAAACGCGGCGGCCACAGACACACCAACAACGCCACTCCCAGCCACGCAGACATTGAGAGACACTGGCCACAACCCACAGCCGTCTTTAAAAACAAAAGGGACAGAATCTGACCATGTTACTCCTTTCACTGAAACCATCCAAGCTACCCGCTGCCCTCAGGGTGAAAATTAAACTCTCCTCAGGCCCTCCAGCTGCACCTTCACACCTCAGGGCCATATTCCTTGCTGTCCCCTCCCTGTGCCTGGGGCACAGGGTCAGGGAAGCCCCAAGCATCCCCTGGGATTTCTCTGCCCTTCTCCTCTGGGGCCCTTTGGTGCCAGGGCTGCCCTGTGCTTTGCTGGGCCGGCTGTGGTGGGCACTCGACCCACAGCGACCCAGGGAAGCAAGCTGGGCCGGGACCATCAACTTGGAGGGTCCTCGGAGCTGCCTGTGGCCGAGGCTCATGGCTGCCCACTCCACCCCCCGCCACCCCGTGGCCGGCTGCACACCCACCTTTTCCCCGGTCATGGCAAAGGGCGCGTTGAACCACTGCTCGAAGGTGCTGCAGCTCTTGAAGATGGTGGGCAGCAGGAAGTTGAGGAGCGCCCAGAGCTCAGGCAGCTTGTTCTGCAGCGGCGTGCCCGTCAGCAGCAGGCGGCGGGGGGCCACGTAGTGCGTGTTGAGGACCTGCGTCAGCTTGCAGTGGTGGTTCTTCATGCGGTGACCTTCGTCCACGATCATGTACTTCCAACGGATCTGCGGGCCGAGAGCAGGAGGTCAGGGGAGGACAGGCAGCGGCGCTGCCCACCTGGGTGAGGATCTCACGGCCACTAGGCAAGAAGGCTCTGGGCAGAACAGCCTGCTGAGCTGGAGAACGTGAGCACAACAACAGCCCCTGATGAGGGACCAGCTCACACCGCCGCCTCCGTAAAGCGGGGGGTGAAGACGGACACGCGGACAGGGAGACACGGCTGTGACCCGCGACTGGCTGAACAAATCCAGGGGCAGAAAGGTACTTTGGTTTCCCAAGAAAATTATGTATGCTAGTACATGACACAGAAAAACACCCCAAATAACAACCCCCCTGCTGATCAGAGGCCCTCAGGGGTGGGGTCTTCAGGGGACTTGGTTCAGCAACGGGTGCATTTCCAATCAGCAGGTGGCAGCTCTAAGGCAGGAGCAGCACAGGTGGGTTCAGATGGTGCGCTCTGGGGGCCCTGGCTGCACCCCAGAGCCTGTCAGTGGCCACACGGCTGGTGGACACAGGCTAGATGTCGATTCTAACCATGAGTGTGAGTCTGCAGGCGGGAGCAGCAGGTGTAGATCCCTATTTACATGTGACTGTGACGAGCTTCAGAGCCACTCTGGCTTTGGCTTCTTTGGCACGGCCTGGCTGAGGAACTGCACATCAGGTGCCCCAGACGAAAAGGGCAGATTCGACTGGGGTGGGGCCTAGCAGCCATTTCCCACGAGGAACCCCCATGGCAGGGGGTTTACGTTAATTAAAGCCACTGTCAGACAAACACAGGATTTTCAGAGCCCCGTTCTCATGCTTGGGATGGGCCTGGCTTTGTACTGGGTCAGAAGGGTGAGCCTGCACACTGGACACCAGCTCCCTGGGCCCCAGTTTCCTTATCTGTAGCTCAGAGATGCACATCAAGCACCAAACGTCATCAGTACGACCAAGGCCGACAGGTGTGGTAACACGTAAACATCTCCTCCATCCACTGGGTCAAAAATTCTACCACTTGACTTAATCCCCTACACGGTTAGTGAGGCCAGATGCAGCACCTTCTGGCTCAACCCCTTCCCAAACCGGGAAAAGAGCTTTTTGTAGGCGAGGGATGGTGCCTGTCTCATATCTGGGTCATGGTTTATTCTCGGTAATTCCCTGATGGCCCAACTAGAGCTGCCTTCACAACTGTGTCAGCTAAGAGGCTGCCCCGCGTGCACAGCCCCCACTGAACGTGCCAACCCAGCAGTCCAAGGCTGACAGAACACATAGGACGTCAGAGTGCTTGGACCTGGATACCAAATCCCTCCTGCTTCGTGGGCCGCTTTCCTGTAGGCTGTGGTAGGGAGACACGGCCACCAGGGAGGGAGGTCTGAGGCCTCTAGAGACAGGCAGAGACAAGGGGGGGGCCTCACCACATCCCTGCCAGGGACACGGCAGGCAAGACAGGTGGGTTGAGAGTCACCGCGTGTGACCAGGCTCTTCGGGCAGAAGGCCTGAGAGGAGCCAGTCCACATGTTGCGCAGACGCAGCCAGTCTCTGGACGTGGCCCAGGGCCAGCCTGGGGACAGATGGTCGGAGAGGCAAGCCCCAGGTCACCTCGACCGGGGCTGTTCGCACACACAGATCAGCTGTCTTTTTACACGTATGCGGGGGAATCCCTGAGAAATGTCTTCGGGGGCTTTGAGAAGATGGGAAGCGTGACACACTTGCGACAATCCTGGGCTGGATCACGGGCTCCCTGACAGCACGTGACGGCCCGGGCTGGCTTGTTTTACAGGCAGACACGCTACCTTTGCAAGGATGTGCTTGTCTTTAATGATGTACTCGTAGGTCGTCAGCAAGACGTTGAACTTGCCGCTCCGGAGCTGGGGGACGAAAGCACGTCTGGCTGCTGGAGAGCCCTGTGAGGGAGAGAAGACACGCGCGCCTCAGCCTCTGGGCCCCGGGTCCTGGCCCCTCACGCCGGCAAGGGCAGAGGGCCAAGTGTGGGGAGCGGAGAGAGGAGTGTGGGTCCTGGGCGGCCCGGGCCCCTGGGAGGCTTGCTGCCTGCACCTCCATCGGCCTCACTCCTGATGGTCAACCAGCTCCGCTTCCCACACCCTCCTCTTCCCAGGTCCCCATCTCAGGCCTCCAGGCCTCCCACACAGGCGCAGACCGCCATGATCACTCCCAAAGGGCAGCTCCAGACTCTCGCCGGTTAGCAAATCTGCCCCGTCCCTCCTGTTTGAAGCTCACGTTCCAGACAGAGGTGCACTCGTTCCCATAAGCTCTTGCCAGCTGAACGACTTTTAGCTCCTCAAACGCACCAAGTTCTCCCCAGACACGCTGTCCCCTTTGCCGGGGCCCGATTTTCCCCATCATGGGGCCAAGAGCCTCTCAGCACAGGGTGGCGAGCCTGGACCCGGTAGACCTGTGGCCAAGGGCACAACGGGGCTCTGCCACTGAGTGGCTGTGTGAGGCCCTCTCTGCCTCTCTCCCCACGAGGACAAGAGGCACATTTAGTCCCCACTTCACAGGCAAACTGATCTAGGGGTGGCACTCAGAGCGTGCCTGCATGGGGCCCACGTGTCCTGGTGTCCCCCGTCACACAGCAGCCCACGGTGGACACCCGCTAAGTCATCCCACGTGAATGGGTTTTAACCAAAGCTCGGCAAGAATAACGAAATCTTCAGGTGAATGCATTAATGTCACCACATTCCACAAACTGAGTCCATAACTTCAGTTAAAAAAGAAGCATCACTCCTCGAAATAAAGTAATCCAAACCCTGTGTTAATGGCAGGATCCCACGTGTATAACCTAAGAAGACGCGCACACGCGCACGTGCATCCTGTCATTAATGCAAGTTGATGCCCCTCTTCACCCACACGTATCCCCTATTCTCCCACCCTGCCCATGCCCACCTGCTCAGGGGGCGACGTACCTTGTAGGACACCTTCACCACCGAGGGGGCCCACTTGTCAAATTCGTATGCCCAGTTGGACAGCGTTCTGGTGGAAACAAGGAAGGGAGAGTCAGGGTCTAGTTCTGTTGCCAGCAACTGTCCAACAGATGCCCACAAGGAAGTGAAGCTGATGTGTGTGTGACCCTCAGAGCTGGCCGGGTAACGGACCATCTGAGGGAAGGAGGGGATGGTGCCCCAGGTGGGAGACACAGGGACACACAAAGGCGTGGTGGTGGGTGTAGGGTCAGCCTCCGCCAGGGCGGCCGGAGAGGGCCAGGACCAGGAGCTGGACCCTGGAGATCAGTTCTCTGTCACCGCTGTGTGGCCACAGGCCCCTGTGAGAACACACCACACGCTGCAGACCCGCTGCCCAGAAAAACGCAGATTCACGGTGCCTCATTTCAGGCTCGGGACGCTGGGGGTGGGGTGCGGGAGTCATGCCACGGAGGCTGGGGCTATAGGAGGGAGACACCACCGAGTCGCAGTGCCACGTCAAAATGAAAACTGGCAGCCACTGAAGGTTCCTGCCCGGTAAGAGGCAGAATGAGGATGGGAGGCAGGCGAGACCAAGCCAGGCCCGGGCAGAAGACTGCAGGAGGGGGAGCGCAGGAGGGCTCGAGGCCAGGAAGAGAGGGGACAGACACAGATGGGCAGTGAGAGGACATGGGGGCGGGTGAGGAGGGACAAGTCACCCCCGACCACAAGAGAGAACCTCAGGAGAGGGTGACAGCGACAGTAAAGCCAAGTTCAGAGCGGGTGGGCTCTCGGGGAAATACTGCGACACAGAGTCTTCGGTGGGGGAGGGAACTCACTCAAGACAGTCTGGACCAGGGGGTTTGTAAAGACAGGATGCAAAAGCCGAGTGGAAGGGACTGCTTGCGGCTCACCCGGCTCCTCCCCACAAGAAGCTCCACTGAGGAGCTCCCCCAGCAGCCAGGGCCAACCAGGTGGGCACAGTCTGAGCCAATGAGATGGACGCTTAAGTCGCTGGGCTGAAAGTCAGGGAAAGGTCTTGAAGGAGGGTGGAGACTCAGCTGCCACATGCTCCTGCTGCCCTGGGCCCCGCCCATCATTCTGGGAACCCAGAGGAGATGACGGAGGCAGTGCGGCCATCTTGCAACCATGAGGGTAAAAGCCTAGGGAGTCACATGCTAAGGATGACTGAGCAGAAAACCGCAGGAGCCTGGGTCCTGGAAGCTTGAAGCCACCTGGCTGTGGGCTTCCCCTTACTGAGGGATCAGCAAGGTCGCCCTGGTTCAGTCACTGAGGTCTGGTTCCTACTGCAGGGAGCAATAGGGGAAGGTCGGAGCACTGAGAGAGAGAGGAGCCAAGGGCCGAAGCCTGGGGTGGGCGGGGGAGGGGCATCTGCAGAGGGGGAGAAGAGCTGAGGGAGAGTCGGGAGCGGAAGTAAGGAGACAGGCCGGAGTCAGGGGTCGAGAGGGAGGCGGGACAAGCAAACTCAAGGCGGAGAGCAGCACGCCCCAGCAGGTGGACGGGACAGCGGGGCACTCGCGTCAGAAAACATCCCCCAGGGCACAGGTGGCTCCTGGAGATGACACTCAACAGACTGGGCCCCGGTCTGGGTAGCACACGGGTGAAAAGGGCTGAACATCAACACACGGGATAACTTCACTGAAGGGAATGGGGGAAAGCAGCCAACTTAAATGACCTTGGAAAAGATGTTTTGGCTGGAAACTGTAAGTCTAAGGACAAAAGGAACTGGATCTCTAGTTAGTAAGGTTGTTCCTCACAGGCTCAGTATTCTGAAAGCACTGTACACGCACACTGGGAACGAACACACGAGTAAGGAGAAAGGCTAGAATGAGCCCTGTGGTCCCGGCTGAGTCAAAGACAGCAGTATGGTCACACTTAACAGAGACACAGACGACCAGACGCAAATCGTGTCAGCACATGTGCACCAGGGTCAGTACACGTACGTATACTTCCTAGCACTGCACACTGAGAGGGCCTAGAAGCAATGACGCCCCAGAAGCAAGGAGCACACCCAGCACCCACGTCTTGGTTTCTAAGACCATTTTCTAATAAGGGAAACCAGAGCTTCTTGGAGAAATGGCTGGTTCTAGGCCTGGGAGGGAAATGTACCAGCTGAGCTTGGAGCGTCTTTGGGTGCCAAAACGCAAAGACGTGCTCAAAAACCCCACAATGATGGGGGCATGTCAAAGGAACAGAGCAGCCAACTGAGAGAGCTCCCGATGGCCAAGGCTGGAATGACTTGAGCAACAAAATAAACCAGTATTGGAGTTGAACCCAAAGTATAAAATAAATATCCAGGAATCCATGTTGATATAAATGACTGAATACATTCACAACTGGGGGAGAAGAGAGAAATCTTCCACACAGGAAAACTCCAAAAAATTTATGTAGGGATTTCACCTTCAAGGAGGTAGCTCTTAACTGCCCACCTATTATGTGTGGGCTGAACTTAGTGACTTTTCTCCAGAATACAGTAGGAAAGGGGGAAAAAAGAGTAACTTCACAGTGGAGACACCTGACACACACTGCCTCAGCCCGGTGATCAGGGGCAACCTCAGGAGTGAAAAGTCATGTAGACAGCAACTGCCCCCCCCTTGTGAGGCGATAAGACGCGCACTTCACTTCTGGTCTTCGTCCCGAAACCCACCAGCCCATTTAAGGATGAAAAAATCACCAAACAGACGCCAGGCTGAGGCACATCCTACAAAACACCCGACCAGTTCTCCTCAAAACCATCAAGGTCACCAAAATTACACCAAGTCTGAGGAATGGTCACAGACCAGAAAAGATTGAGGAGATGTAAAGGCTAAATGTCATATGGGAGACTTCCCTGGTGGCTCAGTGGATAAGACTCCGTGCTCCCAATGCAGGGGGCCCGGGTTCGATCCTTGGTCAGGGAACTAGATCCCACACGCATGCCACAACTAAGGAGCTTGCGTGCCACAACTAAGGAGCCCTGGAGCCGCAATTAAGGAGCCCGCCTGCTGCAACTAAGACCCGGTATGTATGTATGTATGAATGAATGAATAAATAAATGTATGTATGTATGTCACATGGGATCCTGGAATTGAAAATGGAAATCAGGGCAAAACTAGTGAAATCCACATAAAGTTTACTTAATAGTAATGTGTTGAATTCGTAGTACTGTTCCAGTGCTGATTCCTCACTTGTGACGAATGTAACACGGTCACGTAAGATGTGATCAACCACAGGGGGAACCTGGGGAGAGTATACGGGGGCTCTGAGTACGACCTTTTCAACTTTTCTGTAAATCTGATGCTATTCTAAAGTAAACAACCACAATGCAATGACAGAGACGTGCTGAAAGGACACAGGGACGGATCTGAAGCGTCTCCCCGGGCCAAATCTGGGACGATTTAAGCAAAGTAAATAACAATAGTGTCCACAAGACAATTCTTCTATGAAGAATTACACCATTCAACAATTAAATAAGGGAGAAGAGACAGCTCTTCCTTGTAGTGGAATTCCAAGACCTGTAGAAGGAATGCTGGAAAGAGAAAACCACTACTCGGCACTTTCCAGAGTGATCATTTCAGGTGAGACTCCTCTGACGGATGCTGAAATTACGGGGGAAAGTATGATGAGAAATGGTATATTCATATAGCTTCTAAGTGCCTTCTCACAAGTTACTTATAAATTACAAAGGAAAACTCTTAGGTTTATGTGGGGAAACCTGCAGGCACCACGTAAGGAAAGACCAAAGTGATGCTCTCCTGTCACGGAGCCCCTGGGCTTGTGCCTCCTGATGTGAGGCCCCAAGACGGGCACAGCACCCACCCTGGAGTTTCTCGCCAGAATTCCAGAAAGAAGACACATCACACAAACCCAATCTGAGGGATAGTCTACCAAATGCCTGGTCAGGATTCAAGGGTCAAGATCATGAAGGGCAAAGATGGACTCAGGAACTGTCACAGACACGACGTGACAGACACGCGGCAACAAAAGGCAAAGTGGGATCCTGGACCAGAAAAAGGCCTTTAGTGGGGAAGTCTACAACATCTGAATAGAGTCTCTAGATTCGTTACCAGTTAACAATGATTTGTTAAATCACTGTTACTATCCTGGTGCTGAAAGTGTCCTAAGGTGACGGGAGATGCGGGAGGCCGGGTGAAAGGTATATAGGAGCTCTTTACACTACTTCTGCAGTGGTTTGTAAGTCTGAAATCGTTTCAAAATGAAAATTTAAAAATGACAAAGCCAGGCTGCAGAGCAGCACGCTGGACAGAGCTATTCCAGTGGAGATGAAGTCACGCCTGGGAGGCTAAACAGAAGGGAGGGGACTTGAGTAAGTGGAGGGCAGGGAGTCAGCGCACAGGCAAGGGCAGCGGGAAGCAGAGAAGCAGCTGGGTCTGACCACGGCCTGGGACCTTCTGCTGCACCGTGGAAACAGTTCCCTCTCCATGAAGATCTGTTCCTGCCAAGGCAGCCAGATTTACACCGCCATGAGGGACAGAAGGCAGAAGGAGGAAATCAACTTCTCGAGGTGAATTCTGGGAGGGTTCTGGGGCCCCCAGCGGTGGGTGCGTGGCCTCTGGAGGCCTGGCCTCCTTATAGGTAGGAGGGCATGTTCCCATGGGCTGAGGGATGAGTACTCGGTTTCCCATCCTCCCCCTCGACAGCTGACCTGAGGCAGACATGGCTCCCCCTGAGTGCTGGGCCGACGGTAAAGGGGGCTCCCCTTCAGGGCCAAGCCAAGTGTACACACAGAGGCCTGGCCACATCAGAGCAGACCATCCCCCAGGCCCATGACTGGACTGTTGCCTAACATGTGACCTGAACTGGGTCAATGACAGCCAGTCCTGGGACTTCTGGAAAAAACCCGGGAACAGGAGAACCATTTTGTGACACATGCGGAGCTGGGAAGAGGGATGCCCAGATGGCCTGAGGAATCCTGGCCCCTGGAAGGGTGCCTGCTGGGAGGAAAAGACCAACGGTACCAAGGGGTGGCACGTGAGAGAGCCTCCTCCGGACGCCGTCTGGGTATCTAGATGCCACCTGAGCGTCTGTGGTGCCTGGACCAGGCTGGGACGCGATCGACAGGGCTCGGTGCCCCAGCAGTAAGTGGACAGTGTCTGCACAAATGGTTCCACTCCACATTTCTAGTGGGCAGTTATCTTACTCCTGTGACAAGCTTGTGTGGAATTTGCTCATTGTGGGGCCTGAAGAGGACACCAAGGACATCCTGTGAGAGCTGCCCCAACAGGAATCACGGACGGGCACTCCATCACCTGCCCTTCTATCCTGAGCCTTGGCACCAGACGCAGGTGGCTATGGGCTCAGTTGTGTCCCCCCAAAATTTGTATGTTGACATCTTCATGCCCAGCACCCCAGAACATGACTGTATTTGGAAATAAAATCTTTAAAGAGGTAATGAAGTAAAAATACGGTCATTGGGGCAGGCCCTAATCCATGACTGGTGTAAGTTTGTTATAAGAAGAGGGAATTAGGGCACAGACACACATAGAAGGAAGGCAGTGTGAAGACACAGGGAGAAGATGGCCATCCACAAGGCCAGGAGAGAGTCCTAGGGAGAAACCAGCCCTGCTGACACCTTGTTCTCAGACTTGTGGCCTCCCGGGAAATACTGCCTATTGCTTAAGCCACCCAGGCTGTGGTCCTTCGTGAGGGTGGCCCAAGCAAACGAACACACAGGCGTCTGAGCACAGGCCGGGCTGCTGGTGACCTCGGGCGGTGGGGCCTTCCCATTGGGCACTCCCGGCACCTGGGGTGGGCACACTCACGAGAGAGGTACTATGATGAGGAAGGGCCCGTTGATCCGCTTGTGCTCCATGAGGTACGTGATGAGAGCGATGGTCTGGATGGTCTTCCCCAGGCCCATCTCATCAGCCAGGATGCCATTCAGATTGTTGTTGTACAGGGACACCAGCCACTCTAAGCCTTTGATCTGCAAGGAAAAGCGGCCAGGATTGAAGCCCAGGTTGGGTTCGGGGGTGTTCCCCGTGCTTCGGAGACTCACAAGTTCTGCCCCAGCCGGGGACCTCCTGCGGCCATCTTCACTTGGTATTTTGCTCTGAGTCAGCCCACTCCTTTCCCACTCAGCCTCATCCTCAGCAATCCTGTCTCTGAAATCACAGGGTTGCTGTGCTAATGAGAGATGTATATGAAATGCCCTTTCTGGGCGCACATTTAAACAGCTAAGCTTCTCACTGTTACAGTGTCCGTCTGTCACTGCCTGACACCAAGCCACACAGCACATCGGGAGCAACCTGCCCTCAACCGGGTGACACTGGATTCAGGAGAGCGTTGGGGTTTCAGGGGAACTTGGTGATGAGTCCACCACATGACTAACAACTGCCTCAAGAGCATTTCAAGATTAACTGAAAGGTTTCCAAAGCTTGTGAAGCTTTCTGAAACACAGTCAATTAGAGAGAATATTGTCTTCAGGGAAAATCTGGAAATTTTCCTAAGAGATTAAGCAAGTTAAGTCTTGGCCATGTTCTGATTTCTCTGATAACACTGGTCTCTGGAAAGTTCCACTGGCTACAGGATTCACCTTTGGCACTTGATATCAGCACGGATGTCAGCACCAGCTGCCTCTTGGGAGCTTACAGGTGAGCCTGGGATATGGGGCCACAGGAAAAGAGATTTTTACTATAAGCAGCTCCATTTCTTGGCTGTTCCAGGCCAGACCCTGACAAAGAGCTTCAGAGGCGTCATCACTTCACCCTCAGAGGCTGGCAGGAGGGGCTGCTGCCCCATTTCCCAGAAGGAAGGACTGAGTCTAGGGCTGCTAACCTCTCCTGCCTTGCTGCCTCATGCTGCACAGAGCTCCAGGAAATATGTACTGAGCACCCATGGGCCCACACCCAGGTCCCATTCTGGCTCGGCCATTCCCAAACTGTGTGATTTTGAGGAATCGCTGTACCTCTCTGTTCCTCAGTTGTCCCTCCAACCTCCCCCCGCTCCACCCATGAAATTCGGAGGACCACAGCACCTACTTCAGAGTGGTTGAGGGAATTCAGATGCTAACAGCCTATAAAGTGCTCCTATTCTTCTTGGCACATATCAAGCACCCAGCAGATACAGATTTATTGCAACATTTCATTTCCTCTTGGTCAGACCATGCTGCTGCTTTACAGATGAGGAGACTGAGGCTCAGAGGGGAAGAGCGAGTTGCCCAAAGACCAAGAGTGGACCGTGCACTCAGGTCTGCCTGCCTTCAGCAGCCACCCGCGACCTGGAAACCCCTCTGCCGAGACTGCTATGTGGGCGTGGCCCCCTCCAACATACCTGGTACTGCTTGAGGACGCCGTTGACCATGAGCGCCGACTGCTTATCCACCCTCTCGGTGACGGCATGGGCCACGGCATAATAGGACTGCAGGCCACGAGCGAGGGCCTGCGACACGCCATACTCGTCATCAACATCTTGCTTGGCGTTCCTGGGAGCAAGATCAAAGGGCCGTGTGAAGACACACATTCCTACTTGTGACAATGTGCTTCTGACACAAACCTCCGCAGAGCAGCTTTATGGCCTGAGCCGGAAGATAAGCCAAAGAGCGGCCGCAGTCTGAGGACAGGCAAGGCAGCAAACACTAATCCAAGTGGGCCCAAGACTAGACTTCTGGGTGCCATGGGAATCAAGTCACTGTCACACCACAGAAGGAATGTTACTTTTAGCCAGAGGCTGGTCACATGGCCCACCCTCTCTACCCGGAGTTCAAGAGTCTAAAGGGAAAATGTACACTCAACAGCCTTGCACAAACCAGAATCATTTATACTTTGGCTGTTTTGTAATCTAATCTAGAATTCTTCAATTAAAAAAAACTCTTTCTATTATTATTATTTTTTTTTTTGGCCGCACCACGAGGCTTGCGGGATCTTAGTTCCCCAACCAGGGATCAAACCCAGGCTCCTGGCAGTGAGAGTGTAGAGTCTTAACCACTGGACCACTGGGGAACTCCCTGGAATTCTTTTAAAAAGTGACTTAAAACTATTTACATTTTATTAATGTGAAAGATATATGTGATCCAACTATCATATTGTTTTATGCTATGTTTTGTTTTTATATCTTCTTACAAATCCTGCACAGTGAGCTGGGTTTTCTTAGCTTAGAGGGTTTTTTCCTACATATTTCTGATGGATTCAAAAGACTGTATGTTTGTTCTAGTGGTTCCCTTCATACCTAGTGCTTATGTAATACATAATACTCTCAATGCTCTATTTAAGAGTATCCATTAACTCTGTACTGTAAGCCACAATAAAATTGGTATGTCAATTGTAACTGTGCTTACAACGGCAAAGGACGAGAAATAACCTAAACGACCACCGCCAGACTCAGGCCACAACGTGAGACCATGACAGGGATGCCACGCGGCCAGATGTGGAGGAGTGAGACACCCTATGTGCACAGACATAGAAGCAAGGGGCAGAACACTGTGCCCCAGATACACTCGTGCAAATGAAAAGAAACACAGATACACGTCATGCTTACTGATGCAGAAAATATGTGTGGAAGACACGCGATGCTGGAAGCAGTTTCTTCCGGGGAGGAGACGGGGAGGGCTGGGGCTGGAGCACAAGCATGAGGTGGCCTTCTGTGGTAAACCCGACTATCTCTTTATATTTATTTATTTTTTATTTGTTTATTTTATTTTATTTTATTTTATTTTTGGCTGTGTTGGGTCTTCATTGCTGTGTGAAGGCTTTCTCTAGCTGCAGCGAGCGGGGGCTACTCCCCGTTGCGGTGCATGGGCTTCTCACTGTGGTGGCCTCCCCCGTTGCAGAGCACGGGCTCTAGGAGCATGGGCTTCAGTAGTTGTGGCATGCGGGGTCAGTAGTTGTGGCTCATGGGCTCTAGAGTACAAGCTCAGGAATTGTGGCCCACGGGCCCACCTGCTCCGCGGCATGTGGGAACCTCCCGGACCAGGGATCGAACCCACATCCCCTACATCGGCAGGCAGATTCCCAACCACTGCGCCACCAGGGAAGCCCCCCGACTATCTCTCTCTCTCTCTCT